TTCAGTTTGATAGCTATTTATAACTATTTCAATGTCTCTTCCGTGAGATTTCACTCATAAGCACTTTCCAACCTGAAATTAAGAATGTCTGGGGGTTTTTTTGAGGGAGGGGAAAAGGTCAGCATGAAATCAACTGCACCAACTTGCTCTCCCTCCACAGTGATATATCGAGTTTTAAAGATATCTCCATTGTTACCAATTGATAATACAAATACCCCCCCCCTTTTCCCCACATGCACTTTGTTTATTTGACATTTGAATGCTTGTTTATAGCATTGGTGACTTGTGAGACTGGCTTTATGCCTTGGATACTTCCATGCATATTAAACCAGGACCAAACACTTCCTCTGTATTATTTTCACAGTTTAAATGCTTCCTTAAAGATGCAATTAAGCAAATAGATAAAAAGGGTGGATATACCATGGGTGTATACTTTTCAATCAAATTATCTGGCCCAGTTTTCATCCATAGGAAGAAACACTAGACAATATGATACAGATCTTCTGCAGCACATTTATATTCACAAAATACCAGCTGAAATGTAATTAACTAGTTTGCTACTCAAGGATTGTGTTTGCATGACAAATGTTTGCATGGTTGTATTAACCACTGGTTTACTCAGTTAAACTTGGGTACCGTACATAGAACTCATTAAACCATAAATTTATTACACAGGCTATATTCATGCAACACAGCAGACTAAAATTTGGTAGGCTAGTTTGTGAGTAAAACTAGTTACTATGTTGTGTAAGCCTTCTCTATGAAAAGTAATTATATATGTCGATAAATTACATACTGCCAAGTTTTAATATATCTTAGCGTTATTCTCGCTCTACGGTGGGGTCCATATTTGTCTCCATTTAGATCGATCCAGGGCATCTTCAGGGATGCCATCCATGCATTTCATGTCCTCCTTGATGTGAGCCGTTCACCATCCACCGATTCTTGGTATCAGGGTCCAGACGCATGGCTGTCCTTGCCACTGAATCTTCTTTACTGCGTCCATGCCTTTCTTCCTGCATTTTTGCTATGATTGGTGTGACTCCCAGTTAACATCAGATGTCATCGTTCATGATGTGGTTGAATCGCATTAGTCCAAGATACCTTCGGAGACTTTGCATTTCCATCACGTGAGCATGATGCTTTGCTGTCACTGGCCAGCATTCCAATTTGTAGAGGGCAACTGGGTGCATTATTGTTATGTAAATCTTCGACTTGAAGCATAGGGGCATCACACAGGACTCCAGTCACCTAGGGCCACTTCATCCAAGTGGCACTGACATGGGCGTGGACATCTGGAAAGCTATCACTGTCACTGCATATGAAGGAACCAAGATTCTTGAATTGCTCTACTTTCTTCAGATCTTCTCCATCAAAGCGGATGGTTTCATTGGTTTGGGGGGCACAGTCCATATATTCCGTTTTCTTGATGTTCAGTCAAAGACCAAATTTTCAGAGGCATTCATTCTATTGCCACGTTTGCTCTTGGAGGTCTTCACATTGCTCATTCGCCAAGAAGACGTTTTTGGCAGAGAAGTGATCATGGATGAGGCGATTAGAGATCAAGCGTCATAGTACCCAAGCAAAGAACAAACAGTAGGGGTGAAAGTGCCAGTGTTTGATGTACTCTGATGTTGATGGTGAAGGGAGGCAATGTTCCCACTGCACATCAGATCATGCTAGTGACACTATGGTACAATAGTTGAATCCACCAGATGTAGACTTCAAGGAGATTGTGGGATCATAGGATGTGCTAAATAAGTTTTTGTGGGACACGATCAAAGGCCTTTTCCAGGTCAAAGAATACCATGTGGACGGGCTTGGTCTTCTCACAAAAGCAACCAAGCACTGTGAATGGTGTCCATCATTCCCTTTCAGAAAGCCACATTGATTCAGAGTGATGGAGACAATCCTGCAGAGCCTGACATCGATAACCTGTTCAAATATTTTCATGGTGTGACACAGGAGCCAAGTCAGTTGATAATTCGAGCATTTAGCATGTCACCCTTGCCCTTCCAAATTGGAACCATAGTACTGGTTGCAAAAGTTGCCAAGGCTGCACCCTCAGATCCAGAATTTGACTGATACCACTGAGGTACTCCAATTCCAACCGATGTGTCACTCCATCTGTTGTTGAAGGCACTTTATACCTACTGCCAGGTATTAAGAGGTCGCTCCCCTAGAGAAGACACTTTTGCAGCCGCTTCACTGAAATATAGACACTGCTAAGTAAAGATAGTTGTGGCCCTTTATCTGCCATTGGGACATAGGGTCCTATTCCATCTTCAAAACCGTTGATCATCTTCTCCTATAACCCTGGAAAGGGGCCCTTACAAAGAAGAGGGAGTCAAGCTATTTTCCAAAACGCCTGAGGGCAGGACAAGAAGCAACAAATGGAAACTAATCAAGGAGAGAAGCAACCTAGAACTAAGGAGAAACTTCCTGATAGTTAGAACAATTAACCAGTGGAATAACCTGCCTCCAGAAGCGGTGAATGCTCCAACACTGGAAGTTTTTAAGAAGAGACTGGACAGCCATTTGTCTGAAATGGTATAGGGTTTCCTGCCTAAACAGGGGGTTGGACTTGATGACCTCCAAGGTTCCTTCCAACTTTATTATTATTATTATTATTATTATTATTATTATTATTATTATTATTATTATTATTATATTATTCTCAATCATCGTACAGTCAGCCAGATGTTCAGACTGGATTTGGCATTTTGTCTACCTATCGAGTCCTTACCCAGGACCTGGGATAGGCAGATGTAGATGTTTGATGGTATTACAGGTATCGTTATTATTATTATTATTATTATTATTATTATTATTATTGCTACCAGCTGGGCCAGCTGAACCAAGGTTTTTTTTAAAGAGGTATTATTCCTCCATCACTCACTCTTTGTCCTGGCTTGTGACAGGCAGAGCCTGGTTTCCAAAACTTTGGACCCAGGATAGCGGGTTTCAAGTTTCTATATATTAATTGCTATAAAAGAATTAAAACTCCGTATTTCTTAGTTCACATGAGATACTGAGTCCTAAAGCAAGCAACAGATTATGCAATAGTTGAGACTCCAGATAATCTTTGTAAAATAAATGAGAATTTTAAAAAAATGTGCAGGCTATGCAGTAGTTTAGTAATTCAAATTCTAGTATAATGACCATAAAAATAAGTTTGCAGTATAAAAACCAGGATTTGGAAAAACTAATTTCATATTGACAAGTGCAGGAGAAAGTTTGCATAGTTAATATCTATGATTTGAAATTTTTAATTGATAAAGTTGACAATATATGAAATGCACAAAATGTAGTATATTACAGAATGTTATTCTGATAACACATTTCCAACAGCAAATATATATTTTTGACTTCTTTAGTAGGAAAGGGAAACAAAATTGTTATTTATTTTTATTTGTACCGGTTCTATAATTTGAATTGCATCTGTAAAATATTAATATGCAGAAAAGGTAAAAATTGATTACTAATTATAAAACAATGCTGCATGTTAAAAGTACTACAGGGGCCAGATAAGAAAATAACTGTACATTTGATAGTATCTTTGAACTGGTGAAATCAGTTTCTGCTCTCAGGAGAAGTAAAATCATAAAAGAAAGAAAAACAACATAAAACACATAATCTTCTCTTTAATTTCTATTATACACAGTGTTCAATCTAAAGCAGTGGTTCTCAACCTGTGGGTCGGGATCTTATTTGGGGTTGAACGACCATTTCACGGGGGTCGCCAAACAACGCAGTCTGCCATTTTTTTCCCCCTTTTCCTTAGCTGTGCTACTTCCTTTTATTCTATTGGCTTTTGAAAGCCAATAGAATAGACTCTCTTGAGTCCCATTCTGCAAACGGTGCTGCACCAGTTGAGTAGTCCTTGACTTATGACCAGTTAAGTAGTCCGCAACTTACGACCGGTTGAGTAGTCCTCGACTTACCACCGGTTGGGGGTCGCGACATTAAAAAGGTTGAGAACCACTGATCTAAAGTATCACAACAATAATTGTTTGGAAAAAATGTATCAGTATCTTATAGTGAAACTAGTTGTTAGTTAGCTTTAGGATCAAATTACATTTGTATTTTTTCAGATTCTTTCTTTACCTTAATGTTTTTAGCTTCCTTGAATATTCACTGCTTGCCAGAAATGTGGATTATAAATGGCCTAAACGAATGTAAATAAAATTTAGCCAAATATAGAGAGACAGCTATGTTTGGATTGTAGCTGTAAAATAATAAGAGCCATTGTACTCTTCCTCTCTTACAATATTGCTGCAAGGAGGTGATTGGAGGTATCTGTTTATTTTAAATTAAACCCAGTTTATTACTTTGCATTTTCCCAAGAAAGCCAAATAATATACCACTGTTATTGATAGACCATAATTTAAACCAACTGTAGTCCCTTGTTCAAACAAAACTGGTTAATGTATAAATAGAATCAGACACTTTTGATCTCTAGCAGAAATAAGCAGCATGCATTTCTCTAACTCTCACTAAACTTCCAATTCCCAGCACTTCAGTTTATAAGGCTAATGTGACATATGCCAGGACAAGAACATCTGGCAGAGAGGGGGCAAGGATATCTCCCTATTAAAGCAGCTGTAATGGAAAGAGGGGGGAGATTCACACATAATATAAACTTGGGTCTCTAGTACCCAGTGTTTCTTAAACTTTCTTTCTCTCAGGATTTGCTCGTTGCTTTTAAAAAAATTTGGAGGACGCCAAAACAGCTTTCTCGTTTGCGTGAGGGTTTTTTTTTTTTTTTGTCAATATTTACCATATTAAAATTTTAGAAAGATGCCTCTGCTGCTGCTACTGCTTCTCATGATTGATGGGATTTTAATATTGTATTATTTTTCAACATAGGCTGCAAATAATTTTGATTTTGCAGGTGTCTGAGGAGGATCTTGGGGGAGCCCTAGAACCCTGCTTTAAGAAACGTTGCTCTATCTTAACTAGGCCTCTCTGCTTTTAACTAACCACCTCCCTACACTTACCAGCACTTTACGTTTTTAAAAAATATCCTGGAACGTTTGTTGCGGTGGCTAAATTGCCTGTGTCCAATAGTCATTCATCCATTCCTTCACTCAAAATAAACATTCCTACTTTGCATTTCCAGCCATCATCCTTTGAAGACAAGCTGGACTTCGATTTAAGAGCCACACAACTTAAAAATCTTCAAAACCGTCAAGCAGAAAATGGCCCATGTTATTACCAACCTCGGAACCCAAGAGCAAGAGGTCTCGTTTCCCGGGCGGTAGTTGTTTCCGTTGCTCCCCGGCATCTCGCAAATTGGTTGCTATGGCGCAGTCGCGATGATCTCTAACGCGTGAAACGGGTCGCGCGATGGAGGAAGAGGACGCGGTGAGGTTGGGGGGTGTAGCTGGGAGTGGGGGCTTTTCAGCAACCAACGCGACTAGGAAGCTCGTATTGCATGTTAAAGGGGGGGGGGAGCGGGAAAATAATTTATTCATTTGCGGACAAATAATGCCGTAGGTGGGATCTGTTTGTTTTTTTAAGCACGACTCTTCTATCTGTAACAGCCCGTCGGTAGCTATTTGGGGGCTGTTTGCTTTTTTTATTTCCCCGCCAAGGTGGAGGAAGTTTAATTGGTTGAATTCAGGACTCTTTTGAGAGGAAAGACACAGCTTGAGGACATATTTAACCTGGGAGTTACGATCTGGATGTAAAACTGAAAGACCAAGTTACAGCAGTAAAAAGGCACAGCATACTTTCTTAACGGCCATCTAATGATAGTCTGGATTTTGTGCAACTAATCTCATCATTTCTGTTTGTATTTCCATCCCTCTGTAAGGTGGGATGTTGGAGTTGCCAACCTCTTCCCATGCTGCTTTTCCTTGAATGATTTGGCTCAGGGAAAAGACAATAAAATTTGCAACATTCAAAACTCTGTATATCTGGGTGATGAAGTTATGCATCTTAATAGTGGAGAGGAGTTGTTGATTCTCTCCCCACCATTTTATGCCCTTCCCCAATTGTGCTACAGGATTTGTGGATTTGAGTTGCAAAGCAAAGAAGCACAATTGTCAGTTAATATTTAGCAGTTGAATAATAGTGATGGTAGCGCTTTGTTTTTATAAAATAATCTCTGCAAGAAAGGGGCTTTTTGTTTAGTAAACATACATAGGATTGTATGTCACAAAATCAAGTGCAATTTTATTCATGCTTAGTTGAAGGAAACAGCCCTGAATTTATTTGCAGATATGCAGTTTTAAAAGCCATGTTACATACGAATGTTAGGGTTAAATAAAATGCTTGCTATTATATGCTGAATTTTTTTCTTAAATATTTATTGCATTGTGCATTTGTATAGAATGAAAAGTATGGACATTTTCACATTGTTTTAGAGAGACTACAATGAACCTTGTGGATATTGTTCTGCTGTCAGCTGGAGCATTACAGAAGAAGGCAGATTTTACTGCACATCTTGCCACACTGTCATAGAAGTAAGGTTGCTGTTATTTATTTTCAAATTTTAAAACTCACCTTAAGTTTAAGTGTAAATCTTTAAATATTAATATCAAAGACTCGAATGAAGTATATGAACTTCTTTAATAGTTGTAGACCTAGTCTAGTTGTTTTAGCTGTAGTGTAAAAAGGCCGAATAATTTTGGGCATATGTATTAAAAATACATCTTTTCAAAACTTGCAGAAGACTAGAGAAGTTCAAACTACTGATGTTACTACTAATGCAAGGGCACAGTCTATCTCTAGAGGATTAAGAAAAAAGAAGAATAAATTTGGTAAGATTTATTTTTTTTATCAGTTTGTTATAAAAGTATAAAATATTGATCTTTCCCATCATATACAATTTACAGCCTTCTCATCCAATATGGTATGCTTGTTTAAATCAGTTCTTCTGTGGGTTATAGATTTATTCATAGCTGGAGTTTTAGCATCAACTTAAGAAACTAATCCTCCGGTCCTGCAGCCTGGTACTGAGCTGTTGCCCATTTAAAACTGGATTGCGCAAGCAGTGGGTGAGCACACACGTGCCATTTTTCGCAAGTGGCAGGTACAGGCACAAAACCTTCCCCCTCCCTCCAGCACTGCTGTTTCTCAGAGCTGGAAACGTTGGGGACCGCTGCTCTAGACACATGGTTGCACAGTGATAAGAATCCAAAATCAATAATTTACATGGATTCAACTTTATTGTGTTTTCTAAAAGTCATGTTTTGCAAGACAACCTTTCAGAATCTTTTTTTTTTAATTCTCAAAATTGAGGATATGAGTTTCAGAATCAATACTGTTAAAAGTGCATTAGGATTAGTATTTATAAAAAACAACTATAAGAAGAGTATACAGAGTAATAATAGATTCAAGCATGCCAAATTTATTCAAACAAAACATGTAAATTGATTATGGCTCCTCCAGATTATATGAGAGAGCGCTAATCTGGATCTAAATCAGTGGTTCTCAACCTGTGGGTCGGGACCCCATTTGGGGTCGAACGACCATTTCACGGGGGTCGCCAAACCAGGCTGTCCGCCATTTTTTTCCCCTTTTCTTTGGCCACGCCCCTGGCACCCGGTAATGTATAAGTGGTTGGGGGTCACCACAACATGGGGAACTGTATTATGGGGTCGCGGCATTAGAAAGGTTGAGAATCACTGATCTAAATGGTTTTCTCTACCCTTCCGTCTTTTAAAAAAAGAACAACACTGCAACTTTTGCCATTTTTGTCAACCTCTAACATTTTCTAGGGCATAAAGTATTTTACTATTGACTTGTAACAATTAAAAACACAGAGCAATACTTATATTAATTTTTATAGTGCTAATGGATACACAGTGAGTTCTTTAAAAAGTGTCCTGGAGAAAATAGATTATCTCAATCCTTTTCGGTTGTGTTTTAGATCAGAATATAGATAATTCTCAAGTTAGGATAGCAATAGGGACTGGAACAGTCATCGTTAAACAACGCAGGGAATATTGGCAGTTGTGATCACATCATGGCAGCTTGCTGTGACAACCAGAACTCAGGACTTATCACAAGTCTCCCTTATGCAAGTTTGAAAAGTCACTGAATAAGCAATAATAAGCTAAGGATCACCTGTATTAGGTGAAACAGCACTGTCGTGCTTTTCAGTGACTTCTATTGGAGCTGGGAAGGGGGTGGTGCAAGGGCCTTAATTCTTGATTGCTAAAGACTCTTCAAGGCCTTTAACACTTGATCAAGATATCCTTCTGGACCACCTGGAAGAATGAGGTGTAGGAGACACTGGTACATGGGTTCTCCTTTCTTCATGTTGCTTTTACATGTTTCACATGTTGATGGAAGGCAGAGATTGGGCTTCGCGCCCCTGAGAAATGGAGTGCCACAAGGCTAGATACTTTTACTCCTTCTGTTTGAAATCAGTATGAATCTGCTGGATTGGGTCATCTGTCACTTTGGGATTGGGTATAACAGTATGCTGATAATATACATCAGACATGTCAAACACAAGGCCCAGAGGCCGGATGCGGCCCACGAAGTGGTTTCATGTGGCCCGCGAAGCCATCCTGGAAACAGTGAGGGAACGGCCCCCGCTGCCTTGGCCCTGACCCAGGCCGGCCGGGAGCCAATGTACAATTTTGTGATGGCCATCTATGCTGAAATGCAGTCAGTGTTAGCTCCACAAGGCTGTCCGGAAACAGTGAAGAACCAGTCCCTGCTGCGTTGGCCCTGCCCCCTGGGTGCATGCTGGAGAGGTGTCACCCTTTGTGAGGAATGAAGAAATGCACCATGCCTTGGCACTTGCCCCGGTCCCACCCCCTTCTGCCAGAGACTCTCAGATCTGTCCCACTCCTGCCCAGGCACCCTTGACGTGAACGATGTAGAGCTGGTCATGCCCACCCAGTAGGCTGCACCCACCCTGGCCACACCCACCCGGCCCCCCAAGGGCAACCGCAATGCTGATGTGGCCCTCAATGAAATTGAGTTTGACACTCCTGATATACATCATGTAGGACTTTTGGCATGATACAAAATTGGTTTGTCATTGTCATCTTCTAGGTCTATCTGGTGGGTAAATGTTGATTGTGCAATTTATCTTTGCCTGTTTTCAGTATTTGCTTAAGTATATTTAAGAACCCATTCTTAAAGTTTCTGACTGATATAATTTGATACCTGACAAACATAAGCTACTGGTAGGATTTCACTTTCTCTTAATTTTCAGATAAAGGCTGGGACTGGTTCATATGTGAAGGCTTTCAGTATATTCTTCGAAAACAAGCTGAAGCTCTGCAGTCTTTAGGAGTTTCTTCTCAGATGAAGGTATTTTGCTCTTTTCAGTAATCACAGTTTGCTTAACTATTTGAAAAAATAAAGCACTTTTCTAGGCTTACACAGTCTGCTACTATATGCCTGCATTCCTGCAATACACACTAAGCAAACCAAAATATAAAAAGCCCACATAATGGCTTTGTGGGGTTTTTTATATATATAATATGGAACCTTGATTTAGAATAAGAAGGAAAAAAAAAACTACCAGATATCTATTATGCACATGTCAAGTAATTGATAACTTGTAGAAATGCTTTATGTGTAGGATAAAGTTTTCCTAAAAGCTCTTTGTACTACAATTATTATTTGATGTTTTGGGTGGTAATATTATTTATTATTAGATTTGGAGACTGCCCAACTCACAGAAAACTGTGTGCGGTTTACAGTAAAAACAGAAAGATCAAACAATAAGAAAGCATCTATGATACAATGATATGCTAGTTACTGGCAAAAAAATTGCATAATGTGACATTCCTCTTACTATATTAATGCATTTATTACGCAGTGATACACATCTAAAACATTAATAGGTATAAAGTAAAAATGATATGTCCCCATACAGTTTATTAGTTAAGCCATATCAAAGCAAAAATAAAATTTAAAACAAAGGTAATACGTTTTTAATCAATGCTCCAGCACTGGAAGTTTTTAAGAAGAGACTGGACAGCTGTTTGTCTGAAATGGTGTAGGGTTTCCTGCCTGAGCAGGGGGTTGGACTAGATGACTTCCAAGGTCCCTTCCAAGTTTATTATTATTATTATGATGATGATGATGATCATCGCACAGTCAGCCAGATGTTCAGACTGGATTTGGCATTTTTGTCTACCTATCGAGTCCTTACCAAGGACCTGGGATAGGCAGACGTGGATGTTTGATGGTATTACAGATATCGTCGCAGGATGGAAGCAGTTCCTAGTAAGGCTGCC